AAAAATTTACTTACAGGGAATATGTCAGGATGTAACAAATAGGCGGAAATTAATTGAGAAGAGCTAATCGGAAACAATAACCAAGAACCCCACCACCAAGGCATTTTAGGAATAATTCTATTTTGTCTAAGTGCGTTATAAGTAAATTGTAAACTTTTGCTCAAAATATATAAAGAAATCATTATTCTGCGAGGTTGATCCCCGTCAATAAGCAATGCGGGACCAGCCAATAACCCAGCCAAAAAAGGTGGCACCAGTGGAGAACATACTATATCATCAAGTGAAGATGGTTTTCGGAGCAATGGATCAAATAAGCGCATAAAAAACCGAACTAGGCTTTTATATATAATCACGTATGTTGAAACTGATAATGCAAGTCGCGCAGATGAATCCATTGGTAAACCGTTTATAATTTGGTTTATACTACCAATTTAAAAAAAAAATTTAGAAAACTTTATATAAAAAAGTCCTTTAAAATCGAGATCTAACACTTTACGAACCTCCTTTTCCTTTTAAGTATTCCGGGCAAATGAATCAGAAATTCGATTACATTTGCAATGGAGAACACTTGTACGAAGGCAGATAATCCTGCACGTGTAGTTTGCGGCAAACAGTCTTTATGTAAACAGATAATTGTCGATAGGGGTGTATTATGGCTATGTGGTTTACAACTATACGCAGAAATTTACGTTAACAACCAAAACAATTGAACTAAAAAATAAAATTTTCAAAATTATTTGAAGACTACTTGGACACAGCCTTAAACTCTACAGGTGTTGGAAATTTCGCATGGACTTTTCCCAGTACAGGTGCCAACAAATTGTGTGTTGAAGCATATCCTTTATTAGATAGGACAAAGGTTAAAAGGAAAAGCAATTGTGCTTTTTTTTTATCGCTTTCCAAATTATTATACAGTTCAGACATATTGAACAACTTTCAAATTTTTATTATGATCAATTCGTTGCGTTATAAATACTTTAGTCACATGTTTGCCGATCTCTACAAACGCAAGATGTGAATAGAAACTCAGATAACCGGAGGATCCGATGGGGATTGGATAGATAATTTAATTTGGATCGACTCATCCATCAAATTAGAGTTTTTTTCCGGTTTAAAAATCGATCTTAAGGATCGCCCCGATTTTTTTTTTGCACCAAAATTGGTCAAAATCATTGTAGTGAAAATAGCAATCTACTATCTATAAATTATGTTCAGGGAAATTCCGTTTTAACATTTTAAAAGCAATGACAACACTTTTCGTAATATTATTTAGTTGTTTTTCGATATTACCATGGTTGACTTCCATTATACGTGAAAAAAATATTCCATTTACGAATTCGATAGAAATATCAAAAAACAACAATTCAATAAATTCAATAAATGAATCAATAAACATTTGTTCGATAAGTGATGCCAGATACGATTGTGGTTATTTTGGTATAAATAAAGAACAATGTGAATCGAGGTTTTGTTGTTGGCGTCCATCAGAAGATGCAGAAGATAAGTGGTGTTTTTATAAGAAGGGAGATCCATATTCATGTGATATTGACCCTGCTACCAGAGTTGATTGTGGATATAGGGGAATACAGGCTTTTGAATGTATTAACATACTAAATTGTTGTTGGAATCCTACGGACGTTATTGGTGGAAATTACTGTTATTATAAGAGTCAACCTTGTAAAGGATATAAGGTGGTTAATGTAGAATATCGGGGCAATGGTCGCGTTCTTATTGCGGATCTCGAGTTGAATGGAATTGGATGTGGCCTATATGGGCATGATTCAAGGCATCTAAAGTTTCTCGTAGAGGTATAGTATAATCAAAAACAAATAAAAATCGCGTTTTTATTTACAAATTAAACATTTTTAAAATTCCTAGTATGAGACTGCGGAACGGTTGCACGTAAAAATTTATGATCCAAAAGAGTGGAGATTTGAAGTGCCTGAAGAAATTGTTCCTATTCCATTATCGGAATCTATTAACAGTGATCTGCTTTATCATTTTATATATGATGAAAATCCTTTCACCTTTTCTATTGCACGAGCTGATACAGGAGAAAAAATTATTGATACTGATGTTCCTGGAATGAATTCATTGGTCTTTGAAGATCAATACATGGAAATTACATTTAAGCTACCACAAGATCCATTTATTTATGGGTTAGGTGAAGTAGTAGATTCACTTCGAAGAGATCCTCGTGGCACTTTTCAAACCATTTGGAATAGAGATGCTGCTAATCCTGTATCTGAAAATATTTATGGAGCGCAACCATTTTATTTGGAAATAAGAAATGGCACTGCTCATGGTGTGTTTTTGAGAAATTCAAATGGAATGGATGTGACTATCACGCCGGGAAATCCCGCTAAATTGAATTGGAAAGGTAATTAAAAAAAATTTTTTTGATAATTATTTATTTGATATCGAATGATATATATCGACACTATATGTTTTATAAGTTATCGGAGGAGTTTTCGACTTTTATATATTTCTTGGACCGACACCTTCAGACGTTGTCACTCAATACACGGAAGTAAGAAATTTATAAAATTAATTTAAAGAGAGATTAAATGAATAATCATAATAATAATCATATTATTTTTAGGTTGTTGGAAGGGCATCACTTCCACCATACTGGGCTCTTGGATATCATCAGTGTAGATGGGGATATCATAGTGTGAAAGTATTAGAAAAGGTGGTATCGAAGTTTAAATCGAATAATATTCCATTGGAGACGATATGGACAGATTTAGATTATATGGAAGGTTTCAAAGATTTTACATGGAATCCCACAAATTACCCACGTGACGAAATGGTTAAGTTTTTGAGAAAATTACATGAGGATGAACAACATTATGTTGCTATTGTTGATCCTGCTATTAAGATTGAAGCAGGATATTATCCTTATGATGAAGGGATCCGAAGAAATGTTTTCATCAAAAATTACAAAGAGGAAAATATCATAGGACGCGTTTGGCCAGGATTAACAGTATTTCCTGATTGGTTCAATGAAGATACTCCTGTTTATTGGGGAGATATGTTGGAAAGATGGCTGAAAAATGTTATGGTTGATGGATTGTGGATAGACATGAATGAGCCTTCGAGTTGGTGTCGAGGAGAATGTATCCAAAGAAAAACAATATCAAGTGACGATATTCAACTGTCACCCCCGCACGAGCATTGCTTGGAACAGATTGACAATTACACCTCCACTAAGACTCGATCTCGTAATCTAGGAAATCCACCGTATAAAATTAATAATGGGGCAGTAAGATTACCATTAGATGAATCGACACTGGCAATGGATGCCGTTCATCATAATGGATTCTTGGAGTATGATGTTCATAATTTATTTGGTCATATGGAAAGCATGATTACATATAATATTTTGTCTAAAAGAATAAGGAAAGGAAAGAGACCATTCATTATCACTAGATCTAATTTTGCAGGTACTGGGAAATATGCTGGTCATTGGACAGGTGACAACTGGTCAAATGTGAGTAAGAATAATTAGTATTGAATTACATATAAATTATTATTTACTGATATTTAATATTTTCGATTTTAGTGGTCATACCTTTACTATTCTATACCCGGGATCCTTAACTTTCAGGTTGTGTTAATAAAAGTAGCCAAATTTTTGGGGGAGTTGCATTAAATTAACAATACTTCTCCGGTTAATTAAATAGATATTTGGAATCGCATTGGTTGGGGCTGATATATGTGGATTTGGTGGAGCTGCAACCGAAGAATTATGTTTAAGATGGATGCAACTTGGATCCTTTTATCCGTTTATGAGAAATCATAATGCATTATTAGAACCTGGTCAAGAACCATATTTATGGCCTTCAGTAGCAATAGTATCACGAAAGTTTTTGAATATCAGATATTCTATGCTACCATATTATTATACATTATTTTATGAAGCGCATTCAAAAGGTTCGACAGTATGGAGACCACTTTTCTTCGAATTTCCATCATCAAAACATGCATTGTTAATCGATCGACAATTCATGATTGGGTCCGGGTTACTATTATCACCAGTGTTGAGTCCACAACAAACCATTGTTGAAGCGCTTATCCCTCCAGGACTGTGGTATGATTATTATACTGAAAAATTAAGCTTTAATATTACTAATCTTGATGGAATATATGTCGACTTATGGGCTCCGTTAAAAGTATTACCCATATTGATTAGGGGTGGTAATATCATACCTATGCAGTATCCCGAATTAACTACCGCTGCTACTAAAAGAAATAATTATTATCTGATTGTGGCATTAGATGGAGAAGGAGATGCTAAAGGGACTCTTTATGTGGATGATGGTGAAAGTATTGACATTGGTAATAATTTTACTTATACAACTTTTATTGTAAAAAATAGTTCTGCATTAATGACACGATGTGATCGATGTGATCAGAAAATGGATGATGGCACTCAAGGGTATAATGTAAAATCTAAATTAGATAAAATTATTATTATGGGTATTGGAAAGTATAAAAAAGCCATAAAAGAAATTTTGTTGAACGGAAATTATGTCCAATGTCATTGGTTTATTGATAGAAATTTAGAAAAATTAACTCTATCTGATTTAGAATTAAGTTTAAATAATCTTTGGAATTTAACTTGGGTTTATGATTAATTAAATTAAATAGGAGGTGAAAATTAATATTAAAGTATGGGGGTTGAGATAATTTTTTTAAAAAAAAAAAAATTTGTAAATATTATCATAATTTCTTAGCAGACTTTTTGAATGGTTATCTTTTTGGTTTCCTTTCTTAAAAGGATAAATCTATTTATTGTATTTACTATTCGTTCTTTATATTACCTTATTTTGAATTTTGTAATTAAAATTTTTTATTAATTAAGCTTTTTTTTAAATGATCGAACTACTCTATTAGTTATTAATGAATTATCTATTATTTTACGATCATCTGATACGATGAGAAAGTGTCATTAGTATTTTCAATTGATATCACACATAAAAGCAACATTCAACGACTTACAATGAATGAATCAATCTTTCTGTCCAACTTTGACCTAGAACATGATACCATCTTTTGAACAAAGGAACCTCTCGCAAATCTACATTGTTATGAGCAGTGTTAAATAAATTCGAAGACAAAAAAAAAAAAAAATAAATAAATTCACAAGCCAAAAAATCAGGAAACTCTTACCTGGAATGTTTATTTCAGAGACAAAATCCGGATACTCTGCCAAAACATATCCACAATGAGTGTGGAAATTAATCCCACTCTGTCTTATTTCCTCCAAATGTTTATTATTAAACGTTGTCATGGTAGCGTATTCGGGAAAATTTATTATTTCATCATCATCATCAGTAAAATCTCGATGATTTATAGTGAAATATTTAAATGAATAACTTGTTGCAACATCCAAAAAGTCTTTTAAAGCTCCAGCACTAAAGATCCAAGGTTCTTTAAGTTCCATAATAATACACATATATTCTAATGTTTTTGGTACACAAGTCGCCAATCTTCTAAATAAATCATCAGCTTCAAGCCCATCTCCCCCATTAAATGTAAAATGTTTTAATCTAGTACAATTACGAAAGATGGACAAGATTTCCTCATCATCTAGATCCAACAAAAATAAATCTTCAAGATTTTTACAATAAGTAGTAATTGCGACTATAACACCTGGTGTATAATCTTTTAAAGTTAGCCTTCGTAAATTACCATTGGCCGTTTGAAGAACTCCTGTTATAAAATCCTCTGGCATTTCAAAACATCCACCATAGTAAAATTCTTCAAGTAAAGGAAATGATTTCGAAACCTCTAGAACACGTGGACATTCCAATTCGTAACAATTCCGCAGTATAAGGGATCTTAAATTGCTACAAGATTTGAAAGCATCCAAAGCTTCATCAGTTGCAACATCCAAGAATAAACATTCAAGTCTAAGTCTAATAAGCGAAGCGGATTGTGATCGAATGGCTTCCATCGCTGGTATAAAATTAATCTCTTCGGATCTTATCGTTAAATACTTTAAGTTCTTTTGAGCTCTGATAAGTGATGATAATGCTTCCTCTTCTGAACGTGCCACCGAATTGATATCCATTCGAACCACACCTTTACAAACCTCCGCCATATCCCTGTACAATGGAGCGACATCCTCTTTGACTAAACTATGACATTGGAAATACTGTAAACCGCTCAAGCTGATAGTTGCACCCGAAAGATTTAAAAGTCGAGCCATGACGACATTTAAAGGATGTAAATCCGGATCGTTCACGATTCTCAAAGTACGAATGTAAGTGCTATGATTGGTAAATAATATACATAACACAGCAAACACTAACATGTTCTTAAAATAACTATCATCCTCCATTTGTTTATATGGATCCGCAAGCATCGCTGGTGATAGGAAGTAATATTTTATATTTTGTAATAATTCCAATAATGGGAGGTGACGTAAATATGATGCGTAATCGAATATGGTTCCTTTTGAACATGAAGATAAATTCACTCCGTGCGCCATTAATACCGAGGTTAACTTTTCTTCGGCATTCGACAAATAAGTTCGAATGCATTTTGAATGTTGTTTGTTATAATTTTGCTTGTTGAATGGAGCTTCCCATAGAATCGGTATAATTATTTTACACCATCTTCGGTTTACCATCAAAGCGGAGAATAAATCGTCCGAACTATATTCATCTTTAAGGTAAAGGAAAATCTCATGTAAAACTTCGGTTGACAGTCGTTCCATCTTTCTTTTCTTTTGATTATAAATATAATTTTATGAAGTTAGAAAACAAAGGAATGTGCGATTATTAAAGTTTATATATAGATAATATCACTTTACAAGGAAATATAATTTTAATATTCTTAGTTTCCTTTAGCAAATTATAAATTTTTTTTTTATTATTTAAGGTTTCTAACATATTGTGTAAAAACAAAAAGTTAGTTTCAAACTTTTTATAAATGTTTCGTGTTTTATTTAACCTAGTGTTTTTACCTTGTAAAGTTCTCAAATAGAATTGTGAGATGAAAAAAAAAAAAAAAAAAATGAATTGCAATCCATTTTATATAAAAACATGTCGAGATCAAAAAGTAAACATCCATTTCTTGATTTGGAATGTGTACACGCTTTACAAATGAAGTTTAGTATCCTGAACGCGTTATCTGACTCAAACTACTATAAGAGTATTAGCATAGAGGCTTGGAAGGATAAATCGCACGTTACACGAATATACACGACTAGCACACGTTTTAGCTTTAATACTGAAACGGTTAAAATGGTAATGTTTTTTCAATAAAGTTTAATAAAAAGATTAGTCGCGTCGACCATTTTTGATAATCTCCATTTATATAAGAATTTTGTTTTAAATTAAGTATTTTAATTTCTATATTTATGGCTTAGCATCATAGTAAATCATTTAAGATTGGTGATGCATAGGTTACACCATATTCAAAATATTCGTTTTTAGCAAAACATATAAATTTATATAAATTCTAAATTGGATCTCAAGGTTGTCTCGATTACGGATTAATTTCGGTTCTTGCCATTTTATTTTCAAGTTTTCTTTATTGATTGAGAATTTATAAACAATATGAAGCCCTAGGTAGCATTATTTGCGTGTCACAGCCAACTTTCTATAATCTTAATGAGGGGCGAGATTCAAATAGTATTGTTTCTTTTTCATATAAGTGATTTCCCGAAAGGTGTGTGTACCATAATGGCATCAATGGTATCATGCAACACCTTGCATAACCTTTATGTTCTGACCATTGTTGTGACCTAAATTTATAATGAAATCCGAATCATTGGGAACGGGTAAATTAAAAAAAAAAATGATCTCGCTTATGTAATACGTCACAAAAATTATTACTATTTTTACAAAATATCATTTAATTATTAGAGGCTGAAGATGACATGTAAAAATAAATAATATCATTTAATTATAAAGCCCAAAAATTTTCTTGAATACCCGGCCGAAACTGTGTTTAGGCGTAACCGAAAACCGAAACTAGTCTAGGTTATGTGTTTCAATTTAAGGAAAAAAAAATTTTTTTTTGACATTTTACTAGTTTAAGTTTAGGAGGAATTGAAACTAGGAGGGTAGGCTTTTTCGTAAAAAACAGGTTAGGCATCTATATGCAGGATGATATTTAAGTTTGATATCGATAATCAAAACAAATCTTTTAATTTAAACTTAAATATATATAACATTGATTTTTAATCATATTTTAAATAACTTGCTTAATGTATTTTAAATAATTTATGAATTTAAATAATAAATCTTATGAATTATAAATATTATCGGCTTTATGATAAAAAATCAAATATGAATTAGCATTTACATAAATTATTAATAATAATTAAGTATCATAATTTTCAATTAAAATATTTTTATTTGTTAAAAGAAAAAAACTTTAATTTTAAAATCAAAATTTTAAAACATTTATTATAGGCCAATTTTTTTTTAAATTTTATATTTATATATTAATTAAAATATTCTATTAATAATAAAGATTATGATTTTATAATAATTTTTATAATATTATATTATTAATCCCTTATAAAAGAAAAATAGTTATATTTATAAAATTATATTATATAATTTTTTATTTTATTATCAATCTATTTAATCAAATAAAATAAAATATAATATAATAAAAGTATTATAAAACATTAATTTTTATATTAATTATAAAAAAATAAAGTTTTATATTTTAATTTAAATAAATTTTAAAATATTTTAATTATTTAAAAAAAGAAAGCTAATATTATTATAAATGATAATAATTAATAAATTTTATAATTAAAAATATTTAATAAAACAGTTTTTTAATTTTAAAATATTTATAATTAAAATATTTATTATAATAAAGATTTTTACTTAATTTTCTAGATAAGATTTCTAATCAAAATTAAAAGTTTTAGCAAATTATCTAAGTGGGATTTCCTTTATTTTTAATTACAGCTTTAATTTTACTTAGCATACTATTTACTAATTTTTCTAAATAAAATTCTTCAATTTTAAATCACTCTTTCATCAAAACTGCAATAAATTTAACTTTATTTTTTGGTTTTGATTTATACTTATGCACTCTCTTTCTTAAATGCTCCTATAAATACTAAATTGAATTAAGTTCTGAACTTTAGACAATCATGGAATAGAAGATATTAAATTTTTCTCTTTTCATTCAAATATTATGTTTGCTCTATATATAGAAGCATTATTATTTTGAAAAGTATAAAAAATATCTTTTTTCAAATTTTCTATAAAAGATAATAAATGTGTTATTAAAAAATTTTTATATACTATTTCCATAATTTTTCTATTTAATACTATTAAAGGCTAAGTCTATTTTTAATAAAATAATTCTAAACCATTATAGTCAACTTTTAATACAATGAATTTTGATATAACAGTTTTCATAATACAATAAATTTTTAGTATAATACAGATTTTTTATATTAAAAAATCTTATTATAATGATTTTACTAGTTAAAAACTATATAATAATATATAAAGAAAATTTTATAAATACATATATATAAATAATCTTTTTTTAACGAATTTATTAATAACAAACTCTTTTTTTGATATAATGAAATTTTTTAAAAGGCTTTAAAAAAAACTAGTTCTATAAAGAGAAAAAAATATTAGTAAAACATTTTCAAAAAAGCTCACCTATTTTTAAAAAAAAAGAGAATCAACTTACTAGTTGATTTCCAAGATTTAAAGAAGGTTAGTCCTAAAAAAAGAGAAGAAAAGAACATTAGTAAAATGTTCTTAGACTCACCTATTTCAAGAAAAAGAAAATCAACTTATCAGTTAGTTTCTAAGATTCAGAGAAGATTAATCCTAAAAAAAAGTAAAAATGAATGTTAGTAAAATGTTTTTAGAAAAATCTACCTATTTCAAGAAAAAGTGAATCAATTTATCAGCTAATTTTCAAGATCTAAAAAAGGCTGATCCTAAAAAAATAAAAAAAATAAAAAATAAAAAAAGAAAATTAAATACAGTATATAAAAGAATAAAATAGAAAAAATTAAAAGAATTTAAAAAAAGAAAGTTAAAAAAAATTGAAATAAATGAAAAAAAATGAAATGAAAGTAATAAAAAATAAATAAATAAATAAATAAAGTAAACAAAAAAATAAGAAAAAATAAAAAATAAATAATAAAATAATAAAATAAATAAAAAAAATAAATTAAAAAAAATTAAAAAAATAAAGTAAAAAAAAAAGTAAAAAAGAAAAAAAAATTGGCCTATAATAAATGTTTTAAAATTTTGATTTTAAAATTAAAGTTTTTTTCTTTTAACAAATA